AATCCCTAACATTCTGTGATTCTGTGACTTTGACTGCTTTGAATCATTAATATATATCTCCTCTGAAAAAATGACAGTAACATTGTTCTGTAGTAACTCCTGTGCTCTGTGTCAGCTCACATCCACATTTAAGGATAGTTTTCAGCCTATGGCTCACAGGTTCATGGTATTACATGAATTGCTTGTAAAAGATTGGTGAAGTGAAACTCAGAAAAGCAAGCCTTCTGCTGGGAGGATTTAACTTATTGTCCCCAGGTCCTGCCTCTCAAAAGACTGCAAATAGGGAAAAGTTGAAACCCACCAGTGCAACCATTTTTAACCAACTCTGCTTGACTTGCAGGCATCACATTAAAGCCGTTCCGCACAGCAACCACTTTGTGCATCCCTGATCCTGTCTTGAATGATGAGCATCATCATTCTTTGCTGGCTCCTGCTGATGTCCCAGTCCAGAGGCTTCTGGTCAATGCATTTATGGCACCAGGAGTGGCTGGAGGAGGAATCCAGTTTGAAGTCTGGTGCAGGTACAGAATAACATCCTATTCTTTGTAGACATCACAGCAATGCAGATAGAGACATACCTGGTGTTGAAAAATCTCTAACTGTGGGGTGGATATTTAATAGTAAATGAAAAAAATTGTGAGCTCCTCGACATTTAGTGATGAATATCTGCATTTAAGGTTGTATTTAAGACATGAGAGCCTTATTTTTTTCCCAGGAGTGCTGATTACTCTTATCTTCTTACAACTTCATGTGTAAGTGTGTGCTCTTAGTTTCCTTTCTTCCACTTTATTGCCAGCGTAGTGATCTAAAAGTAGTGTTTAAACACCGGGCATATCTAAATTTTACTTAGCAGCACCCTGGCAGTATAATTTCATAATTTCATTTGGTTTTTTTCCTTAATACAGCTCACTATACAATGATTGTAAGTTCAAATTGTAGTTTCTCTGGCAACTGAAGCTGATTCCTAGTAGCAGAAAGCAGAGACCACGAAGAGAGATAGCTTTAGAAAAGTATAATTATAATAATCTGTTCATTATGTAGTAAACAGACCAAGCTATTTAACATTCACAAGGTCACATGAGAATTATCGCATGCTAGATGTGCTTACATTAATGTTGGTAATGACCAGAGCAGGTGAAGTGACCAATTATTAGTACCTGACATTTCAGAAATGTGCTTTAACTCAGTTTCCTGAAGACAGTTGGACTTAGGTTTAATCTTGCCCTGACCACTCACTGATAGTGGCTGGTAAATTTAGGCTGTTTTGAGTGAAATGAGCAAATTAGTGAGCTGGAAGCCTTTTTAAGAATTCTGTAAACATCCTCTTACCAGTTTGCAATATTTAAAATGGAAAAAGCTTACCAACAGATCTTTGTAATTAGGAAGGGGATTAGATACTGACTGCCAGATTTCAAATCAGAGACTTTTTGCTATCATGCTGTCAATGTCTTTAATTACTCCTAGAAGTATATGGGGAGAAAAGTAGAAACCAACAGGTGTAGTATTCCGAGATGTTGGCAGTACTTTTCACACAGTGCTCTAATCAAAACTTGAACAGTCAATTAACGTTTAGGATTTGTTCCAAAATGAAAGAGATACACAAATCTGTAGCATTTCCATGTTATTCAGTCACTGCTGCTGCAAGCCCAGTGGATGCCTTTCTCCTGGTCTACCTCTTGTTCATTAGATACAGTGTCAAAACTCGCTTCAGGATGAGTCTGAAGCCAAGTAGCGCAGTAAGAAATGTTCCATAGTAATTTTTACACCCACAGACTGGTACCACAGATCTGTTCTGCAAATAGCATTTTTATTTATTAATGAAAATTGAGAGCAGAACATACCTGAGTCCAGATCCTTCTCTTGATTTTTTTTTTTTTTTGGCATGCCAATTTTTAGTAGAGATTCTGCTAGTTAACTTGCTGTGTGACTACTGCAAAAGTACACTTTCAACATTATCTATATCAGCATTTGCTGGGTTTTTTTCTGTGGAAATTCACTTAATTTGAGTTTATCTGTTAGCTGTCAGGCAATTAACTGGTGTTTGAAGACACAAAAATTAAGATTGACATGAGAGAAATAATGATCATTTTGTCATCATCAAAACAGCATGACTGAAGCTGCTTTTGTTGTCTTACCAGGTATTATTACCCAAATGTCAGAGACCAGATGGTTGCCAAAGGGACCTTGCCTTTGTCACGGCTGTGTGCCATGGTGACTATGCAGCATCGTGAAGAAATAGGGATACAGACTTTTAATCTTCCATTGGTCCCCAGGACTGATTCCTCGGAGGAATTTCAGCTGCGGTCTTCAGGTAAGGAGACTTGTGGGTTTTCACTTTATATATTAAGATGGAAGTCTATGTATCTGCTTCCAAGGCGAATAAGAGTATCTGTCTGTGTTGGCAACTGATATCAACCATGAGTGTTGCGCTGTCAGTCTCAATGGATTACATATGTAATTATTTTTTTGCATTAATACAGTAAGTTTTGTATTAAGCGGTATAACTAAGTATCAATTGTATTGGATGTTTCTGTATAAAAAAGGTATAAAAAGCTGACCATTTCTTTCCTTTCTTTCATTTAATCCAGGCTTGCTTGATGTGAGTGTGAGATACCAGCGATCCTTGAAAACAGCAGCAGGAATAACTGCTCAAGCTGTTTCTCTCTTTGTACAGATACACAGAGCAGCTGGTTTGCAAGCAGCAGCTAGGTAAAGCCTAATCCAAAAAAGATTTTTCTCCTAAAATAGCTTTATCTGAAGGCAGCAGGCTGAGACATGAGATTAGAACAAATTGTAACTGGCCAACTTTCCATCTGCAGAGACTGAGATTCAAACTGGGTTCTGATCACAAGTGAAAATAAATTTATGAAGAACATCAGTGGTTATTTTTTTCCCTTAAGATGCAGTACAATGTGGTAGCATTCATTCTGTAGAAGGCTCAAGATTGAAGGTCACATTTTTGTACATTTTCGTATTTTTCTACACCAAAGGCTGATACAAAAACTGGCTGGTATAAAATGGTACCTATTTGTGCACTGTATCTTCGTGGTTACAGGAATTTGCTTTGAAAGCTGAGATTTGTTTTCTTGAATTCCACTGTGGAAAGGTTGGTAAACTAACTGCTAAATGAAAGATAGTCCTTTTCACCAGAAGGCTGTTGATCTAAGTGCACGGTATCACCTGAATTTGGTTCCAATATGGGATTTTCAAGAATTACGAAAGAGCTAGAAGAGAAGGAGTCAGTTCCCTAAAAGAAGACTCTTCATCCTTCAGATGTATGACCTGAGTAATACCTGAGTCCAGTTTACTCGTAAATAATTCCGTCTGCTAATTTCATATCCTTTTTCTCATCAGTACAGCTCTGTAAAAATAGTTTGGCTTAGCCTTTTGCTTCCTTCTAGAGCAGGTCCTTGGGAAAGTTATCCTACAGCTTTTTCTACAATATGGGATATTTTAAAGGTGCTGAGTACTTTCTCACTCAGTTTGGTCTCAGATCCTGGTGATGATAAGAGCACAACCACTGGTGATGGACTTTGTGATAGTTACTCGCACGATTTCATATCTGTTCCTAGTATGTACAGATGAAAACAATGGTGAAAAATAATCTGCAGCCAGAGCCTACATTTCTTTTGACTTACAACACTGATTTTTTTCCCCCCCATCTTTTCACCACAAAGACTTGAAACCTTTGTTTTAATTGCATTGGTTCCTAGATTTCTTGTACATTGTATTAATTCTTTTTCTTGTGTTATTTTACATGCTAAATGAAGAGCTGTGGCACAAAAGAATCCTTCGGTCCAGTACTACGCAGGTGTGGGAGTTAATGCTTATGTCTCTGTGCACCTCTCCTTCCTACCTGAGGCAGAGAAACGCAGCACACGAGCTGTGGCTCGTACTTTCTGCCCAGAGTTTGAGCACCACATAGAGTTTCCTTGTAATCTCGTCATTCAGAAAAGTAGTGGAGAAGCCTCTTGTCTGGGGGAACTCCTGCAGTCTGCCAATCTTGTCTTCTCTATCTACCACCAGAGCACCAAGTCAGGTAAGGAGGACAAATTATTACAGTGGCTAAATGCTGTTGCAAAATGGTCTAGTCCTCTTAATTTTTAGTTTAGAAGAGAGACCGTTCTGTGCACTTGATAATAGATGTAATTACCTAAACTGTCTTCACAGAAGGTTTTGGGAGGTACTGTTCCCCTTGTGCGAAGACTTAAGGTTTCTAAGACTCCAGGTGATTAAGATCAGCTTTTAAATAAAAAGTTAATGCAATTAACAGTAATAATGCTTGACTCTTGGAGCACCCTGCCTTACTGTGTGCATGCCTTACTGACTCCACTTCATGAGGTGGTAATGGAGGTTCAGAGAAATGATGGCTTAAAATCCTCCAATGATCCTGTGGCAGGTAGGCAGGATCATTTTACAACATAACAACATGTAGCATTATTTTATAACCAAAATTTAGCTAAAGATGACATTGTTTTTTACTCCTGTGGGAGAAAAGTCGGAGTGACATGTGTTTAGGGTAACTGACCCCTGACTCCCCACTGGTTACTTAATGCTTATCTCTGGAAATATTCCCTAAAAATTTCTCCAAACTCAGTGGTGGTGAAGCATGTGTCCTGTCATGGATGTGCACTGGCAATGCCTACAGTTCACACCTCTGTTGCTCATGGATGTTGCCGGATGGAATTCATCCAAGAATATTGAA